GTGTGTGTGTGTGTGTGTGTGTGTGTGTGTGTGTGTGTGTGTGTGTGCGTGCGTGCGGAGCAGATAAGGGAATCCCCTTCTGTTTCCAAAACGCCATGGAAACACTGAGAGACATCAGGCAGGCCTACCAGGATGCAGGGAGGGGAAGCAGGTGGGTAGGGTCTCACACCAACACACAAAAACAGACACACACACACACACATTCCCTTGAGTGTGTTCTGGCTGAAAATAAGTGATAATCCCCAAGCTGATGGCATTTAGCTGATAGTGTTGACAGTGCAGACATCAACATCTGTCCAAACATGTAACCACAAACATTTTTTGCGCGAACAGTTAACACTCCCCCATACACACACACAAACACAGTCGCTTGAATACACAGCTCACTCTCCCTGGGCTAGTCAACAACTGCCTCTTACTTTACACCAACCAGTAGAATGGTGTCCTATCTGGTTACACTCCTGTCCTGTATGCAGGCACCTGTCACTGTGTCCAGAGGATAAGCTGTTCTGCCCAAACAGGTTAGAACCACAGGCAACGGGAGGGAGAGAGAGGGCTTCGGTGAATCAGCTCATTGTCTGCTATGTGACGCTCTCACCACTGAATAAAGTCCAAGCTCTCCAAGTAGAATAAAGGTCTTTGAGCAGGTCTCTAATTTCATAGCATCAGCTTCCAGTAATGTAGAGAGAGAGATGGGAGGGGAAATTTTGCTTTTGGCATTATGTTCAGTTCAGCACAAGATAATAAAAGTCATCAGCATTCGCAATTTTCTCAGTTGAGCCCCAAAAAACACCCCCTGAGTACAAACACTCCTTTCGAAGGCAAAGTTAACCACATTCCTGTCTGTGTTCTCTCCTCTTCGCCTCAGTAGAGGAGGTTTGTCTCTGCCGAGCCTGGGAGACAGCAGCAGACGCTGGAGCCATCTGGATCCTGCTCCCTCACCTGGTTTGCTGAGTACCAGGACCTCCTGCCTGCCGGTTCCCCCTCAAAACAGGTACATGCTGTAGCTGGACTCATTTAGGCATTTGCCATTGCTTAAGAAACACCAATCAAAAGCAGAATATGGTAATGTGTCAACATCGCATATAAAGAGAGATACTGACAGTTGGAAATTAAACATTTAATGAAATAGACTGAAAATACTGCCCTTCCGTATTCTGATAATTGTACTTTTTTGTACTGAAGAAATCTGAGGCACTCGCACAAAACTCGACAAAAAAGGTCTGATTTTGAGTTGTCCCTTACAGGCAGAGGACAAGAAGTGTGGTTGCTGCATCTCCATCCTCCCCCGCCCTGCTGTCTGTGGCTGAGCCGAGCCAGCTCAGCCAATCAGCCCCCAGCATCATGGAACCCCTACTGTTGATGCAGGCCAGAGCACACATTCAGACCCGTATGTAAATGTGGTTATTAAAGCTTTAACTTATATTATAATACTTAAATTACATAAATTACATAGCAGTATTATTTGTAGAACAGAGGACTTACATTTATTTTTCCTTATGTTATGAATATTCAAAAGGAAACAGTGTTGTACATAATGCACAGTAGAAATCTCTGATAGTGATCACATCTGTCCGGGTCAAATTGATCAATACACTTTCTGTCTTAAGCTTCGAGGAGAAAACATTTTTCTTCGACGGAAATTATTTCAATGTGCAAGCAACACTAGCCTCAGGTAGCCAGCTGGAGGCAGATGGGTTACCATGATCCAAAGTATCATGGGAGTGCAGTAAAATAAAATAGAATTACCGTACTTTTTAATTGTCTTGCTTTTCAGGTATAAATAACACTATAGTGGTAAAAAAGTGTCTTAATGTATTCAAAATAAAAAAAGTTTTTTTGTTTGCTGATGATGCCTGTGTGCATGTCGTTTTAATGTAAAATCTCTCTATCTGCAGGACTGGTCTTCCAAGACACTGTAAATGAACAAAAGGTGAATTTAAACCGTCCTTGTATCACCTTCACCTTTTGTCTTGTCATACTGACATTCATTCAATTTGTCTACCCCACAAGTCCTAACCATTGAATAACTGTCAATGTCTGTATTCTGTGCCGATTCGTGCAGGGACCCTTGCTGGCTCTGCATCCCAGAACGCCCAAACTGTTGGCACCGCTAGACAGCCGGCCCAGGGACGGTGCCGCTCTGCCAGCGCTAAAGCACCGTGTTCCCCTGAAGCCCATCAGCAGAAGCCCCCTTTGCTCCAGGGCCTGGCTGAGGAGAGAAAGGCTGTCCTGGGGCAGCCCACGCACTGGCCTTCTGACCACTAAGGGGGGTAGTGAAGAGAGCGGGTCCAGCAGCCAGAGTTCCTTCGATCTGGAGGATGAGGATGAGGAAGATGAGAGGGATGTGTGTGGGAGAGCTTCAGGGGAAAGACATATGAAGTTAATTCAAAAGAGACTGGCGTGGCGTTCGAACGACGCAAGCCCCACTGAGGCTGATTTGGTTGGGGAGAAACGGCAGCATTTTAAAGTTTTGTCAAAGATCAGTCACATTCCACCCATCCATAGGTCGGCACATGGCCTGGATGAAGAGCCCATCGATCTTACAAACTCTCACTCTGAAGGCCAAGCAACCAACAACTCCTTTATTAAATATCAATATGCACAACAAGGAGACACTGTGAACGATGAATTATCTATCACATCAAAGTCTAAGGAGGAAAGGAACCATGTGGGCTGCACCCCAGAGCCTGACACTGAGATTAGCCATGGGATAATAGCCCATATGAATAATGACCAAGGTGATGCTAGTGCATACTCTGAAGGGACTTACAGAAACGACCTGCAGCATATAAAACAGACAAGAATAACAATTAGGGATTCCTGTTGTGAAGAAACCCAGGTATATGATCCAATCCCTTGTAGGGAGGATGTAAAGATACCTACTGGCACTACCGAGGAGACAATTCAATTATATACTCCGGCTGGAAACCTTCCACGGTCAGACATGGATCCCAAGGGAGATGAGAGGATGTTGAAGGCCTTAAAACTTGTCCTGAACAAGGACAGAAGAACCAGCATAAACTGTGAACTAAGAGCCGACATTCAAACGACCCAGCAGTCCTTCAACGTGCTTGCACACAAAGACCGAAGCATCCTCAATCGGAACAAGTCCAAAAGCAATCTGAAGCATTCCACACAAGTTAAGGACAAAACGAGGAACGGCCCCGAGCTAATGATTAGTGGAGAGACTTCCACAAAAGTAAAGTCAAAGCTCAAATCTTTTAACGGTGCTCATTCTCACACTGGCACCCCCTCACCACGAAAGAAGCTTAGTGATCAGGGCAAAAGAGCAAATTCTGACAAGATGAACAGAGCTCAACAGCATGCACCAACGAGAGAGCTGAAGAGCATCCGGCAGTTAAAGAGACCCGGTCTAGCGGGGACACCGAAGTCGAAATCTACCATGGACTTTATCACCTACAAAGACATGTTTCAGCAGATACAGAGCGGGGATGATGGACCGGCCATTTACGAGATGTTTGCCGGTCCTATCTATGATAACCTGCGAGTTTCCAGCTCCTGCGAGAAAGTGAAGGGCAGACAAGTGCAGTCTGCTCCGCCAAGGAAGCCACAACAGTGCCATAAAGCCCAAAACAGACCATTGAAACAAGCGCAGAGGATAAGTCCGGGGGAGAGTGTCGTGGTTTCCACTAAAAGCAAACCAAAATTTGCGTCCTCAAGGATAAAACCTCACATTGCAGCTGTTCCAAGGAAAGGCACACACAAATTAAAGGAGGATAGACACACAAAGGCTGAGTTAGTTCCTTCCAAGGATGTTGGAATTTGTCAAAGCAGTGCTCAAGAAACTATGTTATCTACCATAAAGGAGACTCTTTCTAGATATGGGTCTGAAACAATCAAATCAAATGACAAAACATTGACTATGCCAGCAGCTTCATCTAATGCCGACGATCATAGATCACACATAAATATGCAAGAAATAAGAGACCCAAACCGACCGGTTCCTGAGCTTGTGTCAGCTCAAAGCACCCAACAGCCGAAGATCAACACCTGGACGTCTTCCAGCACCAGCCTCACCATCATGTCACCAGTTTACCAGAATTTCCTGGATGTGGCGGGGGACGGGCCGCTTACAGATGACCTGCTACAATGTCTGGCTGAGGAGTTGATCTCATTAGATGATAGGGATGTATCCATAAGCCCTGAAAACCTGGAGTCCAACAGAGAAGATGATTATGTATCAGAAAGAAAGACATTTCCTGAGGTAAGCTTTCATGGCCAAAAGTATTTATTTAAAAAATATATATTTTTTTGTAGTCCTAAATTTATATTTTTCTTTAACCTTCCTTTGCAATATAGTTAATAGTTACATAAGCAGACTTTCCGTTGCATCATGGTTCATAAAGGTGCACTTTTCCACATGCACAGAGCAACAGTCCTGTCTCTGTATCAGGGTTTTATAAATGTTTACATTGTTGGCGCATATTAGAAGTTCCATTAAGATGATACGGTTTACCTTAAGGTCTGCACAATTAAGCATGTTGAACCAATTTTACTTTTGACACGCTGTGCAACAGGTGTTTCTCCAATCCAAGAGGTGTGTGAAAAGAAAACATGTATTACCCTGGAGAGGGCCTTGCTTTAGGTTTAGTCCCTCTACTCAACTTCATAATCTTTCACTAAAAAAATAATGACATTGTGGTTTTTTGTAAAAAAAAAAAAAATACATTTGTGAATTCTGTGTATTTTGTTGCAGGATAATTCAACAGACGGTGGTGGTCTTCTTGGCTCTGGGTTGGTTGTAGATGACGCCATCACATGGACAAATGGCGAAGTACTCGGCAGGGGAGCATATGGGACAGTAAGTATGGAAATTCATGACAAAGTAAGGTTTAAAGCATTATTGGGAGCAGACATTGATACTCAGCTAACCCTGGCGATCACTGCTGCCTTCTTACCAGGTGTACTGCGGCCTGACTAGCCAGGGCCAGCTGATCGCTGTGAAACAGGTTAGCCTTGATTCCTCTGACCCCGACACTGCGAAGGAGTACGGACATCTGCAGGGGGAAGTGGAGCTGCTAAAAACCCTCAGACACGCCAACATTGTGGGCTTTATGGGTACCTCACTGTATCAGCATGTGGTTTCCATCTTCATGGAATACATCCCAGGAGGATCCATCGCCAGCATCCTTCACAGGTTGACAACTTACCCAGAAGTCTGTTGAGACATTGAGCTTTGGAATATCAGAGGGTTTAACAATAACTGGTCTGTACTAATGACTTCAACTGCCCTCAGGTTTGGTCCCCTGCCAGAGCGTGTCCTGGCTCTATACACCCATCAGATCCTTGAAGGGGTGGCCTACCTTCACCTGAACAGGGTGATTCATCGAGACTTGAAGGGAAACAACGTCATGCTGATGCCCACTGGCGTCATCAAGCTTATAGACTTTGGCTGCGCGCGCCGTCTCAGCTGCCTAAACCACACCGCCAGCAACAGCGGAGATCTGCTCAAGTCCGTCCACGGCACACCTTACTGGATGGCACCGGAGGTAGATGCATTAAGATGGCCTTCTCATCTGTGAAGATGGCTGATGGCTCCTTTTCAATTATTGAAGTTGTAATAATTTCTTCGTCAGCTAAACGAAAAATTACCATTTTATGCTGAGTTCACACGACACAACTTTAGCCTCCGATTTTCCGCTCGCCGACAGTTTTTAGAGCTCCCTGACAACAGCCCCAGATCAGAGGCAAACTAGAGCTTGAGCGCTGTGTGAACTGCTCAAAGACACTAGCTGAGAGGCTCGGTGGTGCATTGCAGACACATTCAAGATATCTAGCATGCTAAATACCTGGAACTGTCAGGGAGTCTGTTTGGGATCTGCAGCCAACGAGAGTGCAAGACAAAAGTCGCCTGTAAGATTAGGATTTTTACTCCGATTGTCACATTTGCAACACAGACCACCGTTGTTGTTGCGTCTACAGGGAACAGCTAGAAATAGTAAATAATTGTGAAAATGTCGTAAACACGCATTCCGACTACATCCATAGGCATGACTACAAGCAGAGTTCCGCGTATTGCTTGAACAAAAAAATTCCTCTTTCATGGTATTTACATTATTTACTGTCACTACTCGTGTGATCTCGTGACAAAAAATAATTTGGAGAGAAAAAGTGAATTCTACAGGTGGAAGATCCTGTAGTGTGTGACACTGTCGCTGGTAAGTCATGTTGTGTGAAAACGACATCTTTAAGAGTCCCAATTCCAAGAAAGCAAGTGTAGCGTGAACAGTGCAGCAATCTGACAACTTTGCAAGTCAGTTAGTGTGAACTTGGCTTTAATCTTACCCGACTCTTTTATCATCTCATCCACTCGTCAGGTTATCAATGAGACAGGATATGGCAGGAAGTCAGACATATGGAGTGTGGGTTGCACAGTGTTTGAGATGGCCACAGGGAAACCACCGCTGGCACACATGGACAAGATGGCTGCCTTGTTTTACGTCGGGGCTCAACGAGGGTTGATGCCCGCCTTGCTAAATGGGTTTTCGGATCATGCCAAGGATTTTGTGAAAATCAGCTTGACAAGGTGACCTGTCGTCTGTGCAAACTGGCAATTTCCTTTCATACTCACTCTGAACTATCCCTAATTTAATTCTAGTGAAAACTTAGAATAAGTTCTCTTATAACTTAAAACTTTTTTTTCTCTCTCTCAACTCCAGTGACCAGAGACTTCGGCCATCTGCAGACCAGCTGCTGAAGCATTCATTCATCTCCCAGCGTGAGACTGGAGCGCACTCAAAGAACTGCTGTGCTCACCCAGAGGGACTGTGTGGTTAACAAGTTACACTTAACACACAATGTTTTCAGGTTCCATTCAATTTAGACTTCATTTTTTTTTAAATTCAGATTGATGACTCAGAAAATAAAAGTATGCTTTGAGGGCCTACCACCTATCCCCAGAGATGCACTAGTAGTATGGTTGAGAGCACAAAGTATATAAAAAAAGAAGTCATAATTGCATTCTTAAACTGACATTTAAGAAACTATATGAGAAGCACTTTTATACATTTAACTTTTATAGAACCTATAAAATGTGAACTGACTTAACAGAATTTGAATATTTTCTATAGAAATCTTATAAATGTGCCAATCTTCTAAGTACCGTACTTATAACTAGGTCTCTCTGCTTTGTGATATATGTAGATTGATAAAAATGCGTCTAATCCATATTGCAGCATGTTGAAAATGTTAACTACTTCCCATTAGCTTTCCACTGATGAGTTATTGAGGAATCATTGGGTAAAGTTGTGACTAAGACATGAAAGTGATAAGAACTTGGTATTACTATAAGGAATAGTACATGTATGTCTCATATTCAAGTCAACAAGTTTCTTTCCTCCTAAACTCTAGAAACATGTATAATGCATAATAAAACAGCAACAACCAAGGTTCATACTGTGTCAGCGTAGTGGTGACTTTGGAGTTTATTTGTAATATTAAAATGAAAAAAAAAAAATAGGTTAGGCTTATTTGTCCACATCTGCTTTTGCTCCTTGTGCCCAACCGTTGATCCGTAATGGGTCCAAACGGCCTCAGGCTCAAGTATTTTGAATAACCCGGTGAAGAACAGAGGAGGCGGTCAGGTCTAAATCTGGGAACAATATGGAGTTTAATGTATGAAACTGTTGTGATGAGACATGTCCAGACAGGTACATGGCTGTAAATGTTAATGAGGGCATCAGTGACAAAACCTATAAGGGACGTCCACACTTCAGATACTTGAGGTTTATAAACGATATTCAGCAGGTCATGTTGCATATTGAAAATTGGTCACTAATCCGACAACTGTTGAAGGGCTCTGAGCCAGCAAGGGTATTTTCTTTTTCCTATATAGTACTATGTTAATGGCTGATTAACAATACTTGCATGAATCCCCTGCTGACATCTAAGGGGTACAGCTTCATGTCATAAAATTATGTCTGATGCCCTTCAAAGTAAAAAGGGTTATGTAAATTTTAATAGCACACTACTACTGTCTTTGTTAGTTGTTTTCTTCTTTTGAGGCACAACCTTTGGCATCTAGCTTAAGGTCCACTTATAGGTCCCAAAAAATATTTTTTTGGTACAAATTGCATGGCTCCGATGTGATAAGTAGGTGTTAGATGTGCCTGCGTTACTGAGGGCATCAACTGATCTTCCCTGTGATGGAAAAGCACAGTACAGCATCCCCTGTAGGAAGGTTGGTAGAAACACACACACACACACGCGCACACGCACACACACACACACACACACACACACACACCAGTGGAATGCTGCAATCATTCACCCAACGATGCCCAATCCGTTGATCAACAAAATAAAAGTATTTTATAGGTATTATAGTTATCTTGTTATACTTACAAGCAGCTCCAAACCTGAGTAGTCATGGTATAGCTTTTTTTCTTTTTTCTTTAAACATACAAAAACGTATGTACATTTATCTCCACTTTCTGTAAACAGCAAGTACGCGTTCTCCTTTTAAATCCCTTTGATGATTGAAACATGCAAATCATACGCACAGTACTGAAGTATAAAAAGAAATCACAACAAGAAAGAAATTGAGGAGATGAAACTTTACACCTAAAAAAATAATAATTGCATCCATCAACAGTACTAAATGGAATGCCAGCAAACATAACTTGAACTCATCTCCAGCTGGCCACTGGCTTCCTCCATATAACCGCAGAAATGTGATTCAATTAAATTACTTGTTTTAAAAAAATTGACGAAAATGAAAAAAAAGGTGCACCTTCCATGCCTCTTATAGTACTTGTAATACTTTTTTTTCCCATGTTTAGATCTGAAATGTAGGGAAGACTTTCCCCCAGCGGTGAAAACACACTTTTGCACATTCCTAGACTCATTTGAGGAGGAAGGAGAACCAAGCAGCGATTCAACACAAACAGAAATACAGGACTGAGTGTCACAGCCCAGAGATCTGACAGGAAGCATAATTCTGTTTTCATCTTTCTTGTCTCTCAGAAATTGAGAAGTCCAACAATACTTATCTTTTTTGAAGATAAGTTATTTTTCTGCCTTTCAGTAAAGGGTTTATCATGACAAAGAGTTGTTTCCTTAGGGCACTTAACAGGGAGGTGAGCATAGTCTGAGCTGTGTGGGTAGTTTGTTGCCATTTCCATGGGCTGGCCATGGCTGCAGAGCGGTGGACTCAGTGTCTCTGCTCTCCCACTTCATGTGGCGATTCGCTAGGAGGAGGGTACTGCTGAGAGGTCCGCAGCCCACCTGGGTATGACAGGAGGGGAGGAGGAGAAACAAGAATAAGGAGGAGGAGGGAGTGAGGTTAGCCACAGAGCTGCAAGCCAGACGAGACACACTGCAGTACAGGAGAGGAGCCAGGAGGAGAAAAGGGGAGAGAAAAAGATGTACCTGCAGCACCAGTGCCACCCTTGGAGATTTTGCTCACTTTGGAGCATGAAGTGGAGAATGAGGAGGAAGGGTGGTGGTTGTGGCCGGCCTCGGGGTACACCCTCTTGCGCGATGACGACAACGAGGCGGATGCGGGCGGAGGGAGCGCAGTCCCATCCATGCCGATCAGTCCTGGTGGGCCCCGTAGCGGGCCTGCCCCACCATTCCCGCTGTGCGTGTGTGGATGTTGGTGACTGTGCTTGTGGTGGCGATGGAGGCTTTGATCTGCTCCGCGGTGTTTCTCCTTGCTCACCAGAGGGCTGGAATGTTTACTCTTGATGTTGTTGGCCACGCCCTCGTCTGATGAGCTGTGGCGCTCGGACGACGAGACTTTTATCTTCATCTTAAGTTCATCTTTGATTGGCTGTCCACTTCTATCCAGCTGGGAGCTGCCGCCAGACCCAGGGACGGCCAGGCGGAGTTTAAGCGAGCCTTTGTCCCGTTTGTCACCGTGGTGACGTCTATCTTGCCCTGAAGTCGAGGAGGGGACTTTGATTTTCATTGGGGAGGCGGTGGTGCTCCCACCACCACCATGGGATGCTTGGTGGAGCTGTGAATGCTTTCTATAGTCTACTTGGCTCGCAGAAGAGGATGATGCATAGGTAGAAGAGGAGGAAGATAACATATCCCCCCTCACATCGAAATCCATTATTCCCCCGTGCTGCTCCAGACCGCGTTTCTGCCCAGAGACCACCAGCTCCGCAGCGTGTTTCTCTCTGTATTTGTCCAGGGAGAGCTTCTGAGCTGGAGACGGTTGCGGAGGCTGAGCTGGCAGAGGGTTGGCAGACTGAGGCTGATGCTTGCCCACTCCGCTCCCACCAGCTCCCTTTGGTTCCTGTTTGACAGGGATGAAGTCTAACGTTTTCTCAGTCCTGTATGCCGACGGATGCTGAAGCAAAGAGGGCTCTTGGAGAGGGATGCTGAGGGGTTCCTGTTTTATACAGGTGGGAGGGTAACCTGCTTGGCTCTGGTTGACCAGGGGCCACTCGCTGTGGCTAGCTGGGTTGTACGTCCCGGCCAAGGTGTCCAGGGACTGGCCGGGCATGGCGGTGAAAGCGCCGCTTGCTTTAGAGAAACTTGAGGTGACGGAGAGCGGTGCATCGCCATGATCATGGAGCATGGAAGGCCCGGGAAACGAGTTGTCGGTCAACTGAGAGCTGTCGCCCTTGGGCTTCTTGGCAGCTTGTGTGGCCTAGGGGATAGAAAGAGATTTGTAACGGTGGTAAGAGTTTTATTCAGTTGACAGTGTGCTCTCTGAACGGGGTTTAGCAGTGGGACAACCAATCAATGTAGTGGGTAGATTTCTGTTCTGTAAATATTTGTGTTGCAACACTGCCACCAACATTGTTATATGGTGGTTTGACAAACTGGGGTGTAATTCATAAGTCATATACTTTCGACTATTCAAATCGTTTTCAGAACTGTTTTGGTTAGGCTATGTACTTTAATACATCCTGCGCTTATAGTTGAAATCCAATGGGCATGCCAGACACGTCTTTCCCATGTATGAAACAGAGCAGCAGTGCATCTTACCCTCCAGTTGCGTATCCTCTTTAACCGGCTGGGTGTCTTCTCCAGAATCTGCAGAAACTCGTGGGTCAACTCTACAAGCACAAGGCGTGTGCGTTATCATCAAAACACTTCAAACTCTGCTGCAACACTGACACAACGGCCTCCATTATCTTAATACTCCCCCCTTAAAATATTTTAATTCTATGACCCTTTCCCCAAGTAAACACCTTCCTAAATATATAGCAAGATGTGAGAAATCGCCGCCATGTCATTTAAAACACATTAACTCAATCTCACCATCCAGCAGCTCGAGGGTGACCGAGTTGTCCACGTACTCCCACCAGTGTTTCCCGTCAGTGGAAACTGGGATCTCCCAGTTGGACCACTTGCACGCCAGGTGGATGCACACGCAGGAGATCACTGTGGGCTTGTACTGGAGGCAGAAGGTGGTGAGGTGTAGACTGCATAGCCGGTGAAGGTATGCGTGTGTGATGAGTGTGTGTGTGAGACAGAGTGAATATTTCACATATGTGAGGGTACAGGAATGTGAGTGGGTGGATTCAGGCCAGGCGGTATCCCGATGGGTCCCACATATGTAGAAAAAAGAAAAGAAAACACAAGAGGGAGCAGACCGTTTTAATCTTCTGTAGGCATTGGTTGCAAAAGATGAGCCATTATTTAATGGTGTTTGTACATTTCACTGTCTGACACTGTAACAGTTTGTCGTATGCAAGGACACAATTCACAGTGGGATTAAAAAAAATAAGCATTGAATAGTGTCGTGAAAACAATTTTTGTTCCAAGGAACCTGGCTGGTTTAAATGTCGAAACAAAAGGTGAGGGGGCCATGTGTGGTAGCTAAGTGTAGTCCCATTGTGAAACACTGAGGCCACACATGTGACAGTTACATCATTGGACAGTTAACCGACGAGGGGCTGCTCCTACAACCCTCTCTGCGTGGGACTCTGTGACTGTTTTGAAGGGAATAAACCTAGTGGGCCCTGTAGCTCCCTGGATACAACATGGCACCAGTGCTGACTGTGTTAGGGGTACACTGGAGTAGTCTCAACACTAAGAGCCTTACTAAATATAAATATCAAAGCCAATCTGACCTATGGTGACTAGAAAACATGCAACATTGTCCTGCAAAAAAGGAAATTGGGTGGAGTAATGCAAGTTTAGATCATAATTACACAGGAAAATATATTCATATCGTATCTAAAGTAACAAATAATGTCAGACAAATGGTATTTGCAGATACAAACTGCTACAGCAACACTGAACTTTGGTTCTTTGCTAGCTTCCCTATGGTGAATCAAGTATGAATCAGCTAATATCAAACAAGCATCAAGGTTGTCGTTTTTAGATTGAAAGTAGGTTCTACACAATCATAGATCATAGACCACAGACTTATGCCATGAACACATTGTGTTTAAAAACACATTAGGAAAGAGCTGGATGGTAACCGTGTAACGTGAGACAAGTACAACGTCTGGAGTCTGGTCTGTCGGATTACAGCGGCCTTAAACAAAGCTATCAGTCACCGCCGACATTTACAATAATTTCATGAACAGTCATGCCTGCACTCTTGGTAAATGCCAGCTCAGAGCAATACTTAAAACACCGCTCACATTCAGCATCCAGACATTGTCAATTTATTGGAAGTAAAGTGAATTCCATTCCCTCACTGGTAACTATAACCAAACCCTTTAAGGACCCAGTTTCCCCGACTACAAGACACGTCAAGAACATTGTCCTCGCTTTAGAATAACTCAAAATCCCCAAATGCATTTTGATCAGTACGAGACATACTCAAATAGCTATTAGGGGTGGGAATCACCAGAGGTCCCGCGATATATTATCACGATACTTAGGTCACGATACGATATCACGATACTGCGATATTTTCACGATACTGCAATATGCCGAGTATTGCGATAACATATTGCGATTTCTTACTTTTTTCAACTTCAAATTATGTCCCCAAAGGAAAACGGTGTCAACATGTTTTATCTAATAAGATAAAGTTTTCAGTCTGTTTATCTCACTTCAATCATTTTTATTGAGAGAGCCAGTTATGCGCCACACTCTCCCCATGAGCCTGGCTACTGTTGGCAGATTTAACCCCATTGTGAGGCCAGATTGAGCGTGTGAGCGAAACACTTCACATGCAGGAATCCCGTTACCTGAACGGCAACGCCCACGTTAGAAGCGTTGTCGGTTACAACCCCCAGGTTTTTGACGGCAATCCCCAATCCTTGTGCTGCATTTTGCAGGAGGTCTGTAATGTTTGCCCCGGTGTGACTTACGTGTACTGCTCTAGTTTGGAGAACGAGAGACAGCAGTCGCCAGTCCCCCGAGATATTGTGCTGTTATAGTCACATAGGAATCCACTGCGCTTGACGTCCACGCATCGCAAGTTAATGCAACTCTTACTGCTGTAGTTCTCTGTAGGGCTTGGGCACGGCTGTGTCGGTGAAAAAACGCCGCGACGGAGTCATATCCATGTGTCATATTCATGTCCTTCTTCCCTTCCTTGTTAAAAAATCCAAAATAAGTCCAGACGTCTGATTTAAACGCGGAGCGCATTTCTGATTTCTTTCTCCAATGTCTCCATCTTTGTTTTGACCAACTAATTATTTTTTATAGTTTATATAATAAAAGATCAATACTTGGCTTCCGTGTATCGATACAATATCGCCACGCAAAATATCGCGATACTATGCTGTATCGATTTTTTCCCCCACCCCTAATAGCTATACTCATTACATATTCTGCAGGTCCTTAATGGGTCGTGATTAAGTTTTTCTTGTCACAGGTTTAACATAAGCTCCTTATACTAAAGAATGTTGTAGAAAAGCTAGAAAACGTGCATTTAAAGACAGGAAAATATTGCAGAAGATAATGCAATTTGAACAAATGGATATGAAAAAGAACAAAAAAAAAAAATACAAAAATGTATTTGTGGTACTTACCGGAAGGACCTCTACGAGAAATGTTTACATCTGTGAAATCTTTAGCTGCTATTCAGGCTACCAAAGTGTCTTTCTTTTAGAATTATGCACTTTTTCGCAACCGAACAAACATGTGGGTTTCAAGCGCACCACTACACTTCACACCTTGCATTCAACCCATCTGTGCCAACACGTGGTCCCTTGTACAATACACCGCACTGCGACTGGGGCCGGTAACGCTACGAGCCGCCCTGTCCCGCTCCCTTTGAACGGGGGAGGGGAGCCGAGGGGCAGGAGGCAAGCATCCCAACAACCGCCAGCGCAAGTAGGGCCCGTTGGACACTGAAAGGGTACCCTGCATTACAGGAAGCTATGGTGTGCAGTCAAAGTGCAACAAAGGAGGGGCAGGGTAACAACCTGTTGGTAGCCATGAAATAGGAAGTCTGTGCCAGATCCTTGCTTGCTGTGAGAGAAGAGACAGAAAAAAAAAAAAAGAAAAAAAAAAAAAAAAAGAAGAAAAAAAAAAAAAAAAGAACAGGAGGGAAGGGGGAGAAGGATTAGCATCGTTGCAAGCCCAAAGCATATCTTCATCATTAGGTCAGAAAGTGAATGTTTGCACTGATTAAGCCAAGGCCAAGACAAAGAAAAACAACACTCGGCACAGACTCTTGCTACATTTTTGACACTTGCAGCAAGCTGGATGATTTTTATGAATTAAGCCAGAACCTCCGATTTAGCCGTGTCAACCATAACCAATATTTAAGGGGGTCTGTTTATCAGATCCAAAATGGCAAATCCCCCAACAAAATAAATACAATTCAGTCTTGGACTTGGCTGAATAAGCATCAGCAAATGTGTATGTGCTGTGTCGTAGAATGAACTCATAAAGGTCATCAAAAGAGCAAGGTGTGTGTGTGGTTATGTAACCATTAAGTCAGCACGGTTTTCACCCCCCTCCCCACCCATGTTTGAGGTGGGACAAATCAGAGCAGAGGGCACAAAGAGCAAAGAAGGAAGCCTCTACCTCGCACTAGCTGGGAACATTTCACCACATCAGTGTGTGGGTGATCAATAGTAATTTCAAAGCCTGGAACAAAATACATGACAGGTGAGTTCAACACAGAGACAGTTGGGAGGTGACATGTCATTTTATGATTAAACGAAAAACACACCAAGTGATGCATTTTAGGGCCGTAAAGTCAGATTCCAGTAGGTATCGATTTGGTAAACATGAATAGTGGAACCATTTGGTCTATTCACATATGCATGTTACAAATGAATCACTTTCTCTTTGGATGAAAGTATTGAACTTAATCAACAAGCGAGCACAAATTAACAAAAAATGTGGCCCGGCAGTGAAATGGAGACTAAATTTGTGAGAGAAAAAATGCCAATGCAAAATTCCACAGTCGAATCAATACCATGTTTCGTGACCAGTGTCTGTAATGACAGAATGACATGTCACCTTTACATGATTTCCTGAAAATATGCACGTGAAAAGATACCCATACAGCAGCTGATAAAACATTTCACTTAACAGGCTGTGACAAATGCAGTCAACAGTGATCAATAGCACTACTCCCGTACTGATGAAGATAAGCCAAAGATAATGATAAAACGCTCTATCTCTCTCAAGTCATCCACTCCAGTCACCACTACTTACCCAGGGTCTGCAGCACTATGGATTCAAGTATCACCAGCTCTTGAGCTTGCTGGAGGTATGCCTGAAGTTTGATAGACAGTCATTACAACACAATTGTAATGAGTCTATTAATCTCTCCCCCTAACAACTGATTTCAAATGGCCAAAAACTCCAAACAGAGAGGCTCATTTTACTATTTACTATTGTTTGAAAGCCTTGGGAAGTGTAGGCGTGTGGTACACCCCGACAGCAGGCCATGGCAGTTAAAATAAAGCCCTTTGTAGAGGGCAAAGGAATTTGGCACAGCCAGTTTAACATAAGGAAAACCATGACCACTGAGAGAACTGGAAGGTCAGATGTAGAAAAAAAGGGAGGGGGGGGGGTACTCTCAACCATACAATATGTAGAGCTTCCTGAACTTACATTACTCTTCGTGTCGAGAGGTGGTTCTTGGGGATTTAGGCATGCGTGTGCCACTTTGATCACATGTTCGAGTTTCCGAGGTTGTTCTTCCACTTTGGCGGCCAAGAATAAAGTGGTTGGAGATATTATCTGCACAAAGACATTTCTCATAGTCGCGTATCTGCGATTTCTGGAACATTCTACCCAACATGTGATTGTAGGTAGCAGGTGTGGAATTATGTAACAGAATACTTACATTCCTATGGAATTTGGTGAAAGAGTGGTGCATATAAAATCTATGCATGTAAACAATGGCTGTATTTATTGTTAATTGAGAGCTGGAGTTTTGGTAAAGGGAAATTTTTGAGTGAGTGCAACTTAAGCTGCCAAGAACAGAGTCAACAAACTAACTATATGCCATTCTATCACACGTTATTGAGCATATTAGCACGAAACAATTGTTTAAAATAAGTAAAGGTCTGAGTAAAATGAAAGAAAAATATTCAAGTTGAGCAAAGGACACTTTGTACAGCAGGCTAGCTAACGTGATTTACGCTAGCTTTATGATAGCGCTGACTAAATAATAAGAACGTGTCGTATGACTTTAAACTTCAGCTTACATATGCGAAGTTAACACCTCGTTTTCTGGTCATTAAACTCGACCAGGCTGAGGGGTAAAGACGTTTAGCGGGCAAGGGGCTAGCAACAGCTGCAAACTCGCCTAATGGCCCTTTGAACATCGACCACAGCTAGCTAGTTAGCGTGCTATATTAGCTCATAGCTATCGTTAAACATAAACCATATACAGCGAGATTCCAGGTTCAGAGCTCCACCGTAAAACGGTATTTTAAGAAACGCAAAGGTAAAACATAATAAATCGATGATTCATGATACTTGCAGCTTAAACTAAGCTCTTAGCTTAACATTAGCTCGCGGTATCGGGCCCGCTGCGACGGTCTGCCTTAGCGCCATGTCTACTTCCAGCCTGGTCGAGGGAGAAGTTTGTTTACAAAGGATACACGTTGAGTCTCTGACCCATATCTTGGATCAGATTAGCCGCTTGTTGTCGGTAGGAGAGTTCCCTGTCTGGTTCTACTCCACAACGGCGGGACGGTGTGGTTTCGAGTTGCTCCCGGGTGAAAAACCATTTCGACGAGGATCCCCGGCACGCCGCCATTGCACTCCAACATTCAGCATCGAGGAAACGGATGTGACGTCCGTGTCGCACAGGAAAACACGACTTCTTCGGAGGTGAGAGCAGCGTGTGGTGGTGATTGGTTGGTTAGTTATGTTCCCTCAGTATCTGATCGCCATCCTTACAGTATTAAATATTCTGATGCTGTTTTGTATCAATAGATGGCATTTTCTTTCACCAATATTGATTTTTTTTATTCACATTATAAACAGCTTTGCGTTTGGTTGGGGTCGATGCAATTGTCATTGCCCAACCTTCAGTAATAAATAAACAGTTCACACAACTAAACTTGTATCCTGTGTAGGCTATAGAGTGAAGTGGGCAAAAAAAGGAAATGTATATTTCACAGGGTTTAGTTTCAAAGTTGAGTTATTTCCACACAAAGTCAGTAACTGGATGCATGATTTTGTGGTGTTGTATTTAACCACACTGGGCAAGAAAGACAGATGAAATGCTTTATCTGGGTTGACATTAGCTAGAGAAGGGCATACTCAGATAGCAGTCAACTCCGGGGCGGATCCGCCCTCAGGTCGGCAGATCCGCCGTACTGTCTCACTCAGTTCGGCCATGCGCACAGGTAGCGGACCGTCAAACAGCAGACTCGCTGCTGACACCAGGCGGATCCGCACATCGAACGCGCCTTTTCCCCCCAGTTCAAATACTGCAGGCAGGTAACAGGCAGCCTACCATTAGGACCCACGCAACAGGGGGCAGTAAAAAAGGGGGTGGGAAGTTCACCTGGGCCTTTCCTCCTGAACTCAGACAAACCTGAGAGAACAGCTGATCAGCCTTGAGGCCAACCTTTGTTTGGTGACTGATTTGGTAGGCTCTCTTTCTTTCCTTTTTAAAATATGTTTAAAAGCATGATTTTAAGAGTGAAATTGTAGAAAACATGTATTCTTTTTAGGTCATAGCATTAAATCAAAGATGTGTGAGATAATGGTTAAAATGTGTTATCTGCTGGAGGGGATGGTGGCCAGTCTAGAAAGGTAGATAATTACGGTTACATTTCATGTTCTATTAAATGTTTGTGTAAAGGTTTCTTTTTGTATAATGTATTGTTTATTTTTAGTTTTAAACGGACACTAGAGGAGCCAACCACTGTTTTTCCCACGCTTATTATATTTAGTGTGTTTTTTTTAAACAAATCAATTGACTGGGCCATTTTCTGTTTAATTTCTTGTGGGGCTTTGTGTTATGCCGAAGGGGATGGTAGAGTTGGCTTCTTGCGTGCAGATCTTATTGTGTTGTTTGAGTCACAACACAATAATTCGTGTTCGGACTTCGGAAGCAGGAGGACGGACACAGAGAGTACGTGTAAACCAACCAGGTGTTTATTTCACCGACAAAAACCAAACAAACACATGGCATAACTCTTTCAGGGACCACGGGCAGCATGTGGTCCTGGCAGCGACAGCACTAGATGTAATTATGGCAGCCTTATATAGTCTGCCACTAACGAGGACCTCCACATCACTGTAAAATACTCTGCCCCTTACTCTACAACACATTCCCCTAATCTACAACAAATACATTAAAATGGATACCTAACATTTTAAGGTCAATTATCTATATGATCTCTATTGTGGTAAGACATCACCATAGAGAACATATCCGGCCCGACAGAGGATTCAATTTTCCTGCCACCCCTCTAGTAATTACCACATGGTACCTTCCCGGAACTGTAAAATGGTGCTCTTGTACCCTGGGGACTCTTTTAGGAGGAACACCCTGGAGAGGAGACACAGCCGAGGTAAGTGCTTTGAACATGCATGTTATTTGTCAGTACTATAAATATATTCAATCATTTTAGTTAAAGATAACCAATAATATGTTTGTGTCTACAGGCCCGACCTTCAATAATCACACCTGAGACCATATCAGAACCTTACAATAAACATTCGACTCTGTGTGTGAGTCTCTTATTGTTTCGAACAGTCCACAAATGCCTGCAATGGAGAGGGTCTTTGTCACAAAAGTGCGTGTGTGCGCGTGCGTGTGTGTGTGTGTGTATTTTGATCATATTTTGATCTGTCTAAAGCATTTGACACAGTTGACCATGATGTCTTAAAGGCTAAGGCTCCTCAACTCAGGGCTCTCGGAGCAATCGGTCGCTTGGTTCACGAGCTACCTTGAGAATAGGTCTCAGTGCATCAGATATGAAGGTCTATCCTCTGATATTGCAGCCGTCTGTAAAGGTGTGCCACAAGGCTCTGTGTTGTGTCCACTTTTATTTACTGTCTATATAAATGATCTGGGCCAAAATGTGTTGGACACTAACCTTCACTTTTATGCTGATGACACTGTGATATATTGCTGTGCGTCAACTCTTGTGCATATATATATATATCTCTATTGTGGTAAGACACAATACGTACGTATATATATACGTACGTATATATATACGTACGTATATATATATGTACGTATGTATATATGTACGTATGTATATATATACGTACGTATATATATATGTACGTATGTATATATGTACGTATATATATATGTACGTATATATATATGTACGTATGTATATATGTACGTATGTATATATGTACGTATGTATATATGTACGTATGTATATATGTGTGTATATATATATATATGTATATATATATGGATATATATATACATATATATATATATGTGTATACATATATATATATAT